TGGGGGGGGCTGGGGATTTGGGGGGGACACGGGACTGGGGGGGACCCCAAAGCTGGGGGGAGGACCCCAGAACTGGGGGGACCCTGAGACTGGGGGGGAACCCCAAAATTTGGTGATGGGATGGCAAAATTTGGGGAGGGAAGCTCAAAATTTGGGGAGGGGACCCCAAATTTGGGAAGGGTTGGGAAGGAAACCCCCAAATTTGAGGGAACCCCAAAATTTGGAAAGGCGTGGCTCACACGCAAAGGGGCGTGGCTCTCACTTAAAGGGCCAGCACAGTTTTATGATAGGGGGAGGGTGGATCTGAGTTGTGGGCGTGGCTCGATTAAAAGGGGCGTGGCTCTTGCCGTGGCTCCCCCAACGGGGCGCGGCTCTTATTTAAAGTGACACACTCCTTTATAACAGGGGCGTGGCTCTCTGAAAGGGGCGTGGCTCTCCCTTAAAGGGGTGTGGCCCTCATTTAAAAGGACACGGCCATCCTTTAAAAGGGCGTGGCCCTCCCATAAAAGGCCATGACTCCCTTAAAAGGGCATGGCTCTCAAAGGGGCGTGGCTCCCCTAAAGGGGTGTGACTCAAAGGGGCGTGGCTCTCCCTTAAAGCGCCCGCGCTCCTTTATAACGGGTGTGTCTCTGAGTTGTGGGCGGGGTTTTTCCCTGTTTTGGGGGGTGGGCGTGTCCCTGAGCCCCTCCCCTTAAAGGGGCGGTGTCGCGCAGAGCGGGCCCCGCCCGGGCGGGTGCTGAACACGCGGGCCATGAAGGAAATGTACCGGAGCTACGTGGAGATGCTGGTCAGCACCGCCCTGGACCCCGACATGATCCAGGCCCTGGAGGACACCAACGGTGAGCCCCGCCCCCCCAGGGACCCCCCAAAACTGCCCCGGCGCCCCCTGGGGGTGTTCACAACCCAAAACCCTCAGCAAGGTCAAGAGGAGCATGGGCAAACCCCAGGTACGGGGTCCCTGAGGGGTCCTGGGGGGACTGGGGGGTCTCAGATGGGTCACAGGTGAGTTCTAGGGGGTCACAGGTGGGTTTTGGGGTCCATGGGGTGTTCACAACCCAAAACCCTCAGCAAGGTCAAGAGGAGCATGGGCAAACCCCAGGTACGGGGTCCCTGAGGGGTCCTGGGGGGACTGGGGGGTCTCAGATGGGTCACAGGTGAGTTCTAGGGGGTCACAGGTGGGTTTTGGGGTCCATGGGGTGTTCACAACCCAAAACCCTCAGCAAGGTCAAGAGGAGCATGGGCAAACCCCAGGTACGGGGTCCCTGAGGGGTCCTGGGGGGACTGGGGGGTCTCAGATGGGTCACAGGTGAGTTCTAGGGGGTCACAGGTGGGTTTTGGGGTCCATGGGGTGTTCACAACCCAAAACCCTCAGCAAGGTCAAGAGGAGCATGGGCAAACCCCAGGTACGGGGTCCCTGAGGGGTCCTGGGGGGACTGGGGGGTCTCAGATGGGTCACAGGTGAGTTCTAGGGGGTCACAGGTGGGTTTTGGGGTCCATGGGGTGTTCACAACCCAAAACCCTCAGCAAGGTCAAGAGGAGCATGGGCAAACCCCAGGTACGGGGTCCCTGAGGGGTCCTGGGGGGACTGGGGGGTCTCAGATGGGTCACAGGTGAGTTCTAGGGGGTCACAGGTGGGTTTTGGGGTCCATGGGGTGTTCACAACCCAAAACCCTCAGCAAGGTCAAGAGGAGCATGGGCAAACCCCAGGTACGGGGTCCCTGAGGGGTCCTGGGGGGACTGGGGGGTCTCAGATGGGTCACAGGTGAGTTCTAGGGGGTCACAGGTGGGTTTTGGGGTCCATGGGGTGTTCACAACCCAAAACCCTCAGCAAGGTCAAGAGGAGCATGGGCAAACCCCAGGTACGGGGTCCCTGAGGGGTCCTGGGGGGACTGGGGGGTCTCAGATGGGTCACAGGTGAGTTCTAGGGGGTCACAGGTGGGTTTTGGGGTCCATGGGGTGTTCACAACCCAAAACCCTCAGCAAGGTCAAGAGGAGCATGGGCAAACCCCAGGTACGGGGTCCCTGAGGGGTCCTGGGGGGACTGGGGGGTCTCAGATGGGTCACAGGTGAGTTCTAGGGGGTCACAGGTGGGTTTTGGGGTCCATGGGGTGTTCACAACCCAAAACCCTCAGCAAGGTCAAGAGGAGCATGGGCAAACCCCAGGTACGGGGTCCCTGAGGGGTCCTGGGGGGACTGGGGGGTCTCAGATGGGTCACAGGTGAGTTCTAGGGGGTCACAGGTGGGTTTTGGGGTCCATGGGGTGTTCACAACCCAAAACCCTCAGCAAGGTCAAGAGGAGCATGGGCAAACCCCAGGTACGGGGTCCCTGAGGGGTCCTGGGGGGACTGGGGGGTCTCAGATGGGTCACAGGTGAGTTCTAGGGGGTCACAGGTGGGTTTTGGGGTCCATGGGGTGTTCACAACCCAAAACCCTCAGCAAGGTCAAGAGGAGCATGGGCAAACCCCAGGTACGGGGTCCCTGAGGGGTCCTGGGGGGACTGGGGGGTCTCAGATGGGTCACAGGTGAGTTCTAGGGGGTCACAGGTGGGTTTTGGGGTCCATGGGGTGTTCACAACCCAAAACCCTCAGCAAGGTCAAGAGGAGCATGGGCAAACCCCAGGTACGGGGTCCCTGAGGGGTCCTGGGGGGACTGGGGGGTCTCAGATGGGTCACAGGTGAGTTCTAGGGGGTCACAGGTGGGTTTTGGGGTCCATGGGGTGTTCACAACACAAAACCCTCAGCAAGGTCGAGAGGAGCGTGGGTAGGGGTAGGGTTGGGGGTCCCTGAGGAGTCCCAGGTGGGGTTTGGGGGTCCCAGGTGGGATTTGGGGGTCACCAGGGGAGGCACAGATGGGTTTGGGGTCGCCAGGTGGGTTTGGGGTGTCCTGGGGCATCCCCAGGTGTGTTTGGGAGGCTCAGGTGGGTCTGGGGGTCCCAGAGGATCCCCAGGTGGGTTTGGGGTGTCTCAGGTGTGTCTGGGGGTCCCAGAGGATCCCCAGGTGGGTTTGGGGTGTCTCAGGTGTGTCTGGGGGTCCCAGAGGATCCCCAGGTGGGTTTGGGGTGTCTCAGGTGGGTCTGGGGGTCCCAGAGGATCCCCAGGTGGGTTTGGGGTGTCTCAGGTGGGTCTGGGGGTGCCGGGGGTCCCTGAGGCCGGCTGTCCCCGCAGGAGTTCAAGGTGGAGGTGGAGAAGTCGTTCCTGTACACGCTGTACCACTCCCTGCACCACTACAAGTACCACACCTTCCTGCGCTGCAAGGACGAGGTGACACACCTGGGGGGACACCTGGGACACCTGGGGGCACCTGGGGGGCACCTGGGACATCTGGGGACACCTGGGGGGCACCTGGGGACAACCATTCCCCTCCCACTGGCCATTCCCTGCCCCACTGACCATTCCCTGCCCCACTGACCACTCCCCACCCACTGACCACTCCCCACCCACTGACCTCTCGGCGCTGACGCTGTCCGTGTCCCCGCAGACGACGGCCATCGAGGGCCGCGCCGAGGACCTGGGCCAGGAGGAGGTGGTGCAGCGCTGCATGCGCAACCAGCCCTGGCTCGAGCGCCTCTTCGACTCCTTCAGCGACCTCCTGGCCCAGGCGCGCGCCAAGTGCGCCTGACCCCGGCCCCCAGGGGGACATCCCCGAATGGGGACACCCCCTGAATGGGGACACTCCCAAATGGGGACACCCCAGCGGGGACACCCCCCAATGGGGACACCCCTGAATGGGGACACCCCCTGAATGGGGACACCCCAACGGGGACACCCCAAAAGGGGACACTCCTGAATGGGGACACCCCCAAGAGGGGCACACCCCCACCCAGAAACAGGGGGACACCCCAAAACGGCGGGGGGACACCCCCAGGACAAGGACTGAACCTCCTGCCACGGGGACGGAGCTGCCGGGATGGGGACACCAATGTGGGGACACCCCCCAAAAACGGGGACACCCCCCAAAAACGGGGTGACAGCCCCGGAACGGTGGGGGGGACAAGGACTGGGCCTCTCCCCATGGGGACACCAGTATGGAGGGGGGGGGCACCCCAAAATACAGAGACCCCCCCCCGCCCCCCAAAAATTGGGACCATCCCAAAAGCCTCTCAAAATGGGGGGGGGGATATTTTTGGGATAAGGATTGGAGCTCCTGCAGCAGGGATGGGATTGGGGACACACCTGAGACCCCCCCAGGGCACCCCAAAACATCAGGGGATCCCCCAAAACTGGGGGGGGTCCCCAAAAATGGGGGGGAGGAGTGGGACAGACCCCCCCCCCAGGAACAGGGAACTCCCCTGGGGGTGGGAGGGCACCCCAAAAATGGGGACACCCCCAAACGGTAGGGACACTCCAAAAACGGGGACAGCTCTGGGGGAACCCCCCCCCCCATTTCCTGACAGGCCTGGGGACCCCCCCAGGACACAGGGACCCCCCCCAAAATTGGGGGACACCTCCCCCCAAGAGCTGCACCCCAAAAATGGGGGCCCACACACATTTGGGGACCCCTCCTTTTGACGACAGCCCCTCCCCCAAGAATTGGGGCACCCCCTTTTTAGGGACCCCCCTAAATCACCCCAGCAGGGTCTGTGTGTGTCCCCCTCCCCCCTTTTCTCTGGGGGGGGCTCTGGCCATTGGCAGAGGCACAGGGAACCCCCCCCTAAAAAAGAAGGGTGTCACCACCCCCACCCAAAACGGGGGGTCCCCCCACCCCCCAAAAGTGCCCCCCCGGCGGAGACC